CGGCAACAGTCGCCTTGCTGAGCTTCTTATAGATCAGGCGCTTGAAATGACATACCATGGTGGTGTTCGACTAATATCAGCCAACTTGAGACAAAAATACTGGATTGTCAGTGGTAACAGAGCTACGAATAAGAGATTACGTCATTGTATCAAATGTAGAAGGCACGAACCAACCAAACACTATCAAATTATGGGTGATCTTCCAGCAGCTAGAGCAAACCGTTCACGCCCCTTCCATCATGTCGCTGTAGACTACATGGGCCACGTGTTTATCAAGGCTAACTCATGCCATGGTATTAAAACTACGAAAGGTTATATCGCTGTGTTCACGTGTATGGCCACAAAGGCTGTACATTTGGAGTTGGTGTCTGACCTGACGAGTACTGCATTCTTAGCAGCATTACGGAGAATGACAGCTCGCCGTGGCAAACCTAATCACATTTAAAGCGATAATGGCACGAACTTCATAGGAGCAAATAAGGTCTTACAGTAGGAATACGAAGAGCTCCTCAAAACATTTGGTGATGAGTTTCTCTTAGAAGTATCCGAGATGGGTATAAATTGCACTTTAATGCACTTTCGTGGCCATCAGCCAATGGTCTTTGTGAAGGAGCCGTGAAAAGCCTCAAGTATCATCTAAGGAGGGTGGTTGGTGAACAAAAACTCACCTACGAGGAGTACAGCACGCTGCTAGCACAATTAGAAGCTTGCTTAAATTTGAGACCACTATGTCCATTGACGGAGGACGCTAATGATTTAAATTATTTAACCCCATCACATTTTCTATGAAGCGGCCCGATTCTATCAATTTATGAGACGGAACGAGATCTTAGGACTAGGTGGCATTTAACACAAAAAATATTCCAAGACATTTGGAAAAGGTGGCAACAAGAATATTTAACAAATCTATCATCCCGGAGCAAGTGGCGCCAACCTCAAAAAAATATAAAATTAAATGACATCGCACTCATCAATGATGGTAACCTTCCTCCAGGCAAGTGGGCCCTCGGTAGGGTGGTAGAATTGCACCCTGGTAATGACGGCTACGTGCGTGTTGTGACGTTAAAAACCAAAAATGGTTATATGAAAAGACCTGTTATCAAACTATCAATACTCCCTATCATCTTAGAAGAAACACAAGATCAAGAATTAAAGCAAGAGAAATCAACGAAAAGTAAGATAAAACAAAGGAATAGAATATACAGTTTCATTACAGTTGCAACTTCTATCTTATTATTTTTTATGACCCTTATAACTAATACTAGCGGACTATATACTATAAATAAACTACAAAATAATACTAGCCTATTTTTCGACATAATTGTAAACATGAAATTGATAGCTGACGATTGGAGACTCGTTGTCTATTATGATCTCTACCCATATTAGGAAGGCACCGCCGCGTCCTCGAAGTACATGGAATACCTAGAAATCATCTGTTCGAAGATAAGAGAGCATTCACACTGCGATGGTGTCATGTCTCAATTGAATCACGAGCAGTCGGAACTACAGCGCTACAATATCATGTTGCAAGATAAGGGCGACCTACTCACACGTAAGCGCCGGGGACTCATTAATGGTGTAGGTAACTTCGCAAACGCGTTGTTTGGGGTGCTTGACAGAAACTTTGCTGAAAAATATGAAGAAGATATCGAATTAATCAGGAAAAACCAAGGACACCTAGCCCAGTTGTGGAAGAATCAAACGTCAGTCGTAGAAGCGAAGTTCAATGTCATCAAGAGAGTAGAGTCGATCATGGAAAAGCATCATAAAACTATCAACAAAAAGATGATTGAGCTTGAACAATCGATGAACGCACCAAAGTCACAAGTCTCAAATAACTCATATATCAACGAATTTACCTTGGCCTTGAATTTACCGACGCTATAGTTACAAACAACATTTTGTACAAGTTAAAAGAAATACAAACTTATCTTATTGAAACTATCAGAGACGTATTTCACGGGAAGTATGATATTCATTTACTAACCCCCAAGCAACTCCACCACGAATTAAGTGCCATCTCCACTCAGATACCTAAAGACCTATCACTACCTACCGATCACGCGAATTATTCAAATCTATACAAATTACTTAATGTAAAAGCACGCTTATCGAAGTCATTTCTTATTTTCGAAATCCGAATTTCATTATTAGCACGAGACACTTACGAAGTCCTTAAAGCAATTCCCATGCCTAAACAATCGGGTAGCAACATGATCAGCATTGTCCCTATTAGCGAATACCTCGCGTTAAACTTAAACAAGGATTCGCACAAGATCGCGATTTACATACTGTGTTGTGTCGATTCAAGAAACCTATTTATCATATAATCTATGACAAGAGTTTGTGTGAGAAGGATGAAAGATTTAAAAGCTGTAGAACAATCCTTGAATATTTTCATTGCAACAAGTAAACTAAATAACTACTTTTATTTCTGTTGTAATAAATGCTACTTCAAGTTGTTATGCAAAGATCAAGTTACGGCTATTCAATTGAGTGACGCTAGACTTATTACGCTGGGTCAATACTGCCTTATCAAATCAGATGATTTCCATTTTTATGCATACAAACCAGATGCATCTCAAATCAATTCAAAGCCTGACATTGGTATACCGAAGATCGCTTCGATTAATCATTTAATAAATATCGCGATACCGGAGATGAACGCCAGCACGAGCTTGGAGACTATCAGCCAACAACAACTACTTGCCATACGAGAACAATTGGATGTCATGAAACAGACTGAGCCGTTAGCAGCAGGTGTATCCTATCACGACATTCACGATTACACCGTCCTCTACCTGGTGATTGCAACGGCTGGAGTATTCGGCGGATTCTACGTGTGGCGACGCGTGCGGCGCGCGCGGGGGCGGGCAGGTCGCGATCGCGTACAAAATAAGTGAAATGAAGTTAAGTCTAATAGTGAAGTGCAGTGTAATAGTGGAGTGCAATTTGTAGATGTAGAGTTGCAAACAAGTGCAGTGCAGTGTAACAGCGGTGACATTACTAGCCAATTAAATGAAAAATTTAAGAACTCGCGTAAACAAAAGCAAAACCGTGGCACCTCACCAGTGCTTCATTCGGTGTTTACTACCACGGACACGGGTGTCTAAATACACTGTTATTGTCTTTATTTTGCATCAATCATTTGTAACTAGTTTTAAGCAAAAATGTTTATCACCTTGTTATTAGTTTTAAACTCATCTCATCATCATGACTTTCTATCTTTCAGCCCGGGAGCATGTACGCGCTGTAGCACGTACATTTTTGTAGCGTCAGCAGTTTACGCTATTACGCTACAATAATGCATTTTGAATCAGTGCGCTAATTGAGCCCAGCAATACGGGTCGCGCTGCTCGCAGTATCATTTCCCATCTATCATTAAAAGATTTAGTTGGTTCTATCAATAAACTATCAATTACCAACTTCCCAATATTGACTATCATTTACTATCAACTACTGTCAAACGATCAAACGTGGGGGTTCCGTCGCAGCCCCTACAAATGGATTTCCGCAAAGTAAAGCCTGATTCTATTAATTATATAAAAAATACTGTTAGACGTATTTTAAATAGCACATCTCAAAAATATTAATTATTTAAACTGCACCCATGCAGTTTAGAAATAAAAAATTGATAAATTCGTTCACCTTCTAACGTCGATATTACTACAAATAATTAGAATTGGGTACTTTTTACAGTATAAAATACTGCGCCTTGCTTGAATATAATTGCACCATCGTTAAAAATGCATTAAATGCAATGATAAGCTCAGAAATTTACTAAATCCAAAGTTAAGTGTCGATTGGGTGCATTCGACACTTATTTTATCAACTTTTTCTAATTATTTGAAGTAAAATCGACGTTATAAGGTGAGCGATCTGTAACTATTTTTTATTTCTAAACTACATGGGGATACCGGCGTATAATAGACGACCTGACAGCCCGAAAACGCATGATTAATTTTGATTTGTCATTGTGAGCGTTAGCTAGTGATGTACATTTTACTTACAAGGGCTGTCGAAAAATTATTGTTAAGTAAGCGGTAAAAAGATTTAAAAAAGTCCAGGAAATTGAATAACTTCAAAAACGACTGAATGTTTACCATGATGGTTCTAAATTAATTAAAATATTCATATAACATGTTCCTGAGAATAAGCTGAACCTACCTGCCTTTTGTTGGATTTCAATTCAAATGTATAAAATCCCAGGCAACTCTACCGATAAACTTAAAAAAACTCCCAAGAATCAGATTGGAAAGTTGTATTTTCAAGCTATGATCTTCGGAGAAAAATATTTACTGCGATGGACAGTTTCCCCGAAATTTCTTTTCTAACATATTGTTAATATAAATAGGTAGATACTTAACTAAGTATATACCAATTTATATATCATACATTAAATATTTTATAAAATGTTTTGACGCGGAAATAAAAAACGGTTACATTGAGTACATAATGACTGCTTTTTTTCATATAGTATTTACTTCACATTTATAATTCCATTCAAGATATTAACAATGATAAAGTTCTTGATACTCTTCAAAGTTTACTAGCTGATGAAAAATTCTTCCGACCACCATATTCCTTTATATCTGGTGTCCAAGATATATAAAAATGAGAACAACGTGATGTTAATCAATAGTGCAAACTTAAACTGTGAATCAATGTGAAATGAAAGTGAATTTTTGATGAATGTATCGTAAAGTTAATACATTGTAACTTCAGGCTCAGAAGGGCTACAACCCAGAGCCGTAAAGCCAGTTTAAAAAAAAAAAAGAAACGGATCTACTATCACAGAGTACATTATATATAGGGAATCTACTATTTTCTCTAGTATAACCTGTATTGCTTAACAGTAATTTATTTTATTCTACTTTTATTGAATTTTTTAAAAATGTATTAAATTAATTGCAAAGAGAAGAATACTGAATAAATTGTTATCAAAGGACTTAAAATAATCACGTGTTCGTTTTATGTTAGATATGTTCTAAAAAATTATGGAATCGTCTGAGCACCTGCCGTTACTACGTGATGCCGATGGCTCCGAAAATTGTTTACATTTCACAGCTGTTGGTCAAGAAGATAGTGTGGAAAAAGTACAGGTTAATTAGAATATGAACTTAAGATTAATATACATAGAAACTTAAACTAATTAAACTACAGTCGATTTTTAGGTTTATATTTTTATAAGATCTGTTATTTTTGTTAGTCTTATTGCGGCCCCTCATAGTTTTCGAGATATTAATTTTTATAATTATTTTTCTTAGCACTAGAGTGCACACACATTATGTATCCCAACAAATAAAACAGTTGTTTATTTTTAAAACAGACTTGCCATAATGCCAAAGTCTCGTGTATTCCTCAAATTATAATAGTTGTAGACTCCCGAAATACGCAGACGCTTGAGTATATTATCTTTAAAGTTGGTGGGCTACGTATGTAGCCCGTGTGAGTGTACGTGAAAAGTTTTTTATTTAGTGCACAAATTAAAAAAACTAAGGTAAATATATTTTTTTACTATTCTAAGCCAGTACTTAACTACAATTCCACCTGATGGTAAGTGGTGATGTAGCCTAAGATGGTGAAGCGCACTGAATAAACAAAAGCCTATTCACTCTTGCTTTGAAAAAAACCAAATTGTAATCGGATGGAAAGAGAGATGCTGGCAACTTATTCCACTCCTTTTGGTTAAAATGCATAGTAAGTCAACAACGAAAGGATGGAGACTGGCCAAACGTCTGGGTGTCTAATGGTGGAAGGGAGAGAGAGGAATTAAATTATGCAATTCCTGCTCACTTTCCAAAATGCATCCTGTAGAAAACCGAAAGACTTGCAACTGTGCGCACCTATTTTCAAGACTGGTAAGATCGGTTTTAACCAGATTCGCATCACCAATAAGCTTCTTAGCACACCTTTCCATTGAGTCCAAAGCTGCTAGGTGGCATTTTGCAGCACCAGCCCATATATGGCAGCAGTACTCTATGCATGACTGGATTTTAACTTTATATAAAGTAAGCAGCTGTCCCGGCGTGAAGTACCACCACACCTTTGCAAAAACTCCTACCTTCCTTGCAGCTGCTCTGGCCTGGGACTCAATGAACCACCCGAAGTTTAGGTTAGAGGATTACTCAACCCTAAACAACTGTAAGAGGTTGGTGTATTCCTGTGATACACTTGTATTTTGGTGGCGTTGAATTTAACAAGATTGGCATCGCTCCATTCAGGTACTACCTGTAGTGTGAGATTCACACACTTAACCATCAGCCAGCTTCTCTTTCGGACTGGATTTGATCCCGAATGGCCCGAGAACTTGGTTGGTATCTCGCCATGACTATCCTGTCGTCTGCGTATCCATAGAAACCAGGCATAAGCAGATCATTAATATGCAGCAGGTAGAGAGTTGTGGAGAGAACGCCCCCCTGAGGAACACCGGAGTTAGTCTCCACAGGATCGGATGAACAGCCATCGACGATGAACCAGAGAGACCATTCACTCAGAAAGTCCTTTACCCAGATGATATTTATTCATATGATATAATTCTTGTAGTATTACTATAAAATGTAATGCAAACATTTAATTAAATGTCTTGTTGTTTGTATTAACGGATATTTCATGTATATTTATTATATTTTGGTATTTTTTAGATGGTAGGCTATACAAAAATGGCTACTAGAGGATAAAGAAGAGGATGACATTTTGTGTTAAAGTGAGGAGGATGGAGGGTTTGCCGAACAAAGTGTCTAAGAACAGCAAGGATCTCCTCATTGGTTTGATATGGAACGAGAAGGTGATGAAGATATTCCTCTGTCGGGCTTAGCTTTCTATCAGTCTCATAATGATGCAAGATTGGATTAGTTTCCACTGCCTACTTCAAGAACAAGGTCTCATAACATTTTAGCCCGTGCACCAAGCTTAGGTGTGGCAAAGGCTGGCAAAACAACTCATATCATTCCTGCTATTTTCCGATGCTGATGTTTGGAACATTCTCGTTGAATGACAAACATTTATATTGATACCATTACTTGATGATATTGTGAAGATACTGTTGCCCGAATAATCTGTACAATATAATGTGCATGTTAGATCGATTGCAGTACTTGTGATACATACGACACATTTGTAGTGATCATCAGGCAGTCGTGTGAGCTCTTAGACTGTTGGTTCAATTAGATGATAAGAAACAAAGAACCTAATAAATATTACTTTCTAAATATAAAATAAGACCATGTGATATCAACCCGTCCATAGAGCATTTTAAGAAGTTTACGTTTTAGTTATAAAATTAAATTCTGAAGTTAAATTTTGTTGCTTTTTGTGCCAATATAATAAAAATAAAGACGTTTAGTAACTATATATTGCATATTATTATTTTTTGAGCCTTATGTGGAAAATACATGATTTTCTTTTCTGATGTCTTTGATGTCTAGGAGTATTTATAAGCACATGTACGCTAGTGTTAAGTGAACTAGGTGAAATTACTATTTTTTTATATTTGATAGAAATCACTTGTGGTGTCTTTACAATCTGCTTACAAATGATCTATGAATGTTAAATGTGTTGATTTTTATTGATTCTGCATAAAATAACCTATTAATTTTAACTATTTGCTGATAGCAAATATGTTAAGTAACAACAGTGCTTCCGTAAATAATTATTTTTACGTGAATTACTACCATGTATGGATGTTTATGCTGTTTTTAATGTATATTTACCAATATTTTTATGCATGAGTGGTTTAGCCATGATAATGTATCAATGTCATATGCCATGTTTTTTTTTTTATAGGATAAGGGTGACAAACGAGCACACAGTCCACCTGATGGTAAGTGGTTGCTGTGGCCCATAGACATCTACATCTATCCTCCGTTACAAATCAAAATGTAGATGCGTTGTCACCCGTGAGGACTAAGATGGAATGCCTCATTTCCAGTAAAAAAGGCCTCCGGCCACCAGCACTCACCAAGCGAAACGCAGAGGTAAACCTCTACTTCACGCTGGTTTTCTGTGAGGTCGTGGTACTACCCCGGTTCGAGCCGGCCCATCCGTGCGACAGCAAAAGCTGCCGCGTGGCTCTACCACATAAATAGAATAGAAAAGTGTAGCCAATTTCAATTCTTTAATGATTCTAGGTCTGGATAATAGAAACACTAGAAACAATAACCTCAAGGATGGAAGAGGGTGTTATAGGAACAAAGAGGAGAGGTATAACTCTACAGAGGAACGAAAGTGTGAAAGTATTTGAGCAAAGTAAAAATATCCCTAAAGGGGAAAACAAAGTATAGAAAAGTATAATCTTTGAGATTTTTAAATACAAGCCACTAAACGGTAAAAAATAAAACAAGGAGCTTAACATCAACAAATAAGATAATTAATACATTATAGTGAGAAAAATGTGGGCAGTAGTCAAATCGAAATTAGTCAGTATGAAATCTCATTATACATTGTATGGAATTATTAAAAATGTCTTACTTAATCTTAATCTACTATCACTACTACATAGGCTGCACTAAAAGTACCGGGAATGGAATATTTCCACTGTTCCTGTCATATTAAAATCTTTTTAATTGAAAACTCCTTGGTTTTAAAAATCGAATACCATTTATTTATTTAAAAAAAAATTCTCGGTGTTGTCACAAGGTTTTTGTCAAACTTGTTTAGTCGTTGAGAAAATGGAATTGACTCGAGAAAATTCAAGAGCGATGATTTATTTTGACTTTCGAAGTGGTTTAACACAAAAACAGTGTGTTGACCGGATGATTTCTGCATTTGGTGATGAAGCCCCATCCAAAACCACAATTTATCGCTGGTTTGCTGAATTTCAACGTGGACGTGTCAAGCTCAGTGATGATCCCCGTCAAGGTCGTCCAAAAACTGCAGTCACCCAGGAAAACGTTGATGCTGTGCGTAAGCTGATTGACTAAGATCGACATGTGACATACCGCGAAATTCAGACAACTTTAGACATTGACATGAGTCAAATACAAATAATCTTGCATGAACAATTAGGTGTAAAAAAGTTGTTTTCCCGATGGATACCGCATTCGCTCTGTGAAGAGCAAAAAGCGGCTCGCGTTACTTGGTGCGTCAGAACTCTCGAAAGTTTCCACGCAGGATCCTCAAATGCTGTATACAACATCGTATCAGGTGACGAATCCTGGATATACGCGTACGAACCCGAAACAAAAAACCAGTCACGAGTTTGGGTGTTCGAAAATGAGTGCCAACAAAAATTGTTCGTTCAAGGAGTGTTGCAAAAAAATGGTGGCCACGTTTGTCTCCAAAACCGGCCATGTTACGACTATTCCTCTTGAGGGACAAAGAACGGTTAATGCAGAGAATGGTATGCTAGCATTTGTTTGCCACAGGTCGTTTCTGAACTCCGTAAAGAGAACTGCAACCGCCGCATCATCCTCCATCACGACAATGCGAGTTCTCACACCGCACACAGAACAAAAGAGTTTTTAGAGCAAGAAAACATAGAATTATTAGACCATCCGCCGTACAGCCCCGACCTAAGAACTAATAATTTCTATACTTTCCCTAAAATAAAGAATAAATTGCGTGGACAGAGATTTTCATCACCTGAAGAAGCTGTGGACGCCTACAAAACGGCCATTTTGGAGACCCCAACTTCCGAATGGAATGGTTCCTTCAATGATTGGTTCCATCGTATGGAAAAGTGTGTCAAATTTCGCGGAGAATACTTCGAAAAGCAATAAATACATTTTTAAATAGTAATGTTGTGTCACTTCCTTGATTCCCGAAATTATCAGTGCCGCCCTCGTATTATTACTTGAAATGTGCTTTCATATATTTGACCAATTTTATTGAACAGCAAGTTCAGAACTGCTGAGCTATTTACCTAACTGCACATATTTTTTACTTTATTATCCTCGCTTCTCAAGTACCCCATTGGCAATATGTAAGGCCATTCCTGGTTACTTGGATACTTGATCAATCGAAACAAAAATGACTGCAATTTATTGCAACTAAATTGCGTTCTTTAGGTTTATTTGACCATGTGCTGATTGTTTTAACAGATTTGATTATCTACAGTATGTGTTATAATACCACATTATTAAAACTGAGAATACTTACAAATGTTAGTACAGTTAAAATCTATCGATTTTAAACTACCTGTGTACATTCAATAGCCAGCTGGTGCTGTGTGTATGAGCATAACACATTTTTACTATACGTGAATGTGTGCATTGTGAGTGTGTAGATATTAACTACGATTTAAAGGCATATTTTTTATAGAATAAGGGTAACAAACGAGTATACAGTCCACCTGATGGTAAGTGAATGCTGTGGCCCATTGATTTACATTTACCTTCGACTAAGAATCATAATACAGATGCGTTGTCACCTCTGAGGACTAAGATGGAATGCCTCTTTTCCAGTAAGAAAGGTCTCCAGTTCTCTACATTCACCAAACGAAACACATCATCTGCTATTTTAAACTGGTGTTCTGTCAGAGATGGTGCTACCCCGGTCGTGCCGACCCATTCGTGCTACAACTAATATAGCAGCAGCGTGATTCTGCCACGATGTTCTACCTACTGTAATGAAATAAACACTTTTTGTGCATATATGGAATAAGCACGGAATGCCGTTGTTGAAGCACAGTGTACAGATAAAGATTGTTAGGTTTTTGCCACACCGTGTTTTAATAAAAGTTGCTTGTATTTGATTTATTTTATTATTCAACGTGTGGATAGCGTTTGCCTTGGTTTGCGTAGGTATGCAAGCGCTTGTATCGAATCAGAACGAGTGTCGGTTTCGGTCCTATATGTATTGATATAAAAGCCAGCCAGATAAAAACAGTACAACCAAAAAGATTTTTCTTAAATTTTGTACAAACAAAATACGAATAAACTTTTCCCCGACCCCGATTATTATGGTAGTACTGCAGGCACGCGCTCAACTGTGGCTGGTTTCTCTTGGTCACTGGGAAGTAGGCGTGGGACCCGAAGCTTTTCGCGTGAAATACTTGCTTGATTTGCTTGGACTCGGCTGCCAGGTGTTTTCTGTCATAGATTTATGTGGAATTTATGGGGATTAAAATAAGCAAAAGTAGGTAAAATTAATGTCGAGAAAATCCCTAAAATGAGTTTTATTCAATGTGTAACATTTGAGTAAATAATGTTTTCATAAATTAATAAACTCTCCTTCACCTGGTTTGCCTGGAAGAGATCTCTGTTTAGCGATAAATCCTCCCAGTTTTACTTAAGTTTGTTGTGCGTTATTGTAATATTCCTTGTGCAAGAAAGAGTATACTTAAATGAAATAAATAAACTCTTACTAAGTCTTAATAAACTTACTGGTAGTAGAAGCTGATGCATAGCTCTTGTAACCAAGTAGAATGATAATGCCACATTATCAAATCACATCCGTGCAAAGCAGTAGCGAATTGCTAGTCTGTAAATGTATATTAATAATCTGATATCAAAATATTTTTCCCTGGACCATAGATTTCATTTTATACCTCTTCATCTTAAATATTAATAAAAGTTCATTTTTAATTAGGTGCTGCATAACAAAGAAGCTGACGGAAATATTAGCAGTAATGAATTAATGATGGATAGAAACAACGAAGATAATACTATAGCTGGCACAAGAGATAAACATAACGTAGTTGATACTGGAAAGTCAAATGTACTTAACACTCCTCACCAAAGAACAGAGATTGAGAGAACGTCTACAACCCCAATAGTGCCATCAACCCAACCACATATAATGGGTGAAGTTTCACTAACACCTACACATAGAACATTTACACCACAAGCAGTTAATCCACACAATACAATGGTAGCTATAACTCCGATAGCAAGTGGCGCCAGTCAAGCAAAGAATAGTATAAAGTTACAGTAAGTACCTATCCATTGAAAACTGCAGTTTGCAATTTGCATTATGATTCTGTTCGTTATTCTTAAAAAGTTGTATAATAATTCGCGACAAGATCTTAGCGGGAACCTTCATATCATGCGAATATTTTTTATAGGGTTTTGCCGAATTGTGGTTTATTTGTCAGTGTTCACAGCGCGTCTGGTCTTAATAGCACGGGGTTGCCCCGATCTTTTATGGTCGAGGAACGGTTATTGGCGTACCGGACCATAGTGGGAATGCGATATACAAATATACTGGTGATGCATAGCTAGCAACATCTTAAATATGACTGAGGGCTCCACACTTGTGAATTCGGGACGGGCACTGGTTTTAAGAAGTGGCAATTTTGATATCAGTCCTCAATTCTTCAATTGATTTTGGGTGCTTGTTCCTTTCTGATAAAGCATGAGAACAGGCACAAGTATCGTTAGGTTTTCAGTGATGATCGGTTTGATTGTATAAAAAGAAAAATTCCTTACTATTGAATTAAATTCGATGAAAACTTTTCAACATGTTATTTCGTGTAAAGTAAAGGATACACAATACTGTTCATGTATCTATACTAAATACTTAAAATTTAAAGTTATATTAAATTATGAAACATGTTATTCTAACATCATCTCTATGATGATTGATGACTCGAATTTTCTGTTGACGGTCAAAATAAAAAATCTCTTTATAATATATATATATATATATATATATATATATATATATATATATATATATATATATATATATATATACAGGCCTTATTTAAATGATAGAAAATTACATAAATTAATGAATGTCCTTGTTTTCCAGGAATTGTGTTTCATCTGTTAGCTTAGGATGTGAATTGAAGTTATTAGACATATATTGCCGTACAAGATTCTCAGAATATAATCCAGCGAGATTTCAAGGAGTTGTTATGAAAATACTCGAGCCTCGGGCAACAGCATTAGTATTTAGGTAAGCTGTTTATATCTGTATTTTTTTAATTTATTTCATAAATTACATTCATGAATTACACATCACATTACATACAATCATAAGTTTATAGAAACTTTACCATGTACCGGTATCGCTGTCAATAATAAATATGAGGGTGAAGTAAAAAATTACACTTAAGTGCGTGATCTGCTATTGCAGGATACATTGCTCATGGATCGTATACATAGGACGTTTGTTTTAAAGCGCTATCGTATTATTTATTAGTAATAAATGTTATGTATAATTTAAATTATTTATGATGCAATCCATAAAGTAATTTTTTAATTTTAATTTCATATTTCTTTGAGTCAGTTCTGTTTTTACAGATCCTAATTGCTGATAGAGATGATATATTCTAAAGTACGTTTACCATATAAATTATTATTTTTCGGTAAGGCTAATTTAGGTTTTCCCGAGCTGCGAGTTTTGGAGTAATCACGGGTAACGCCAATTTTTAACTGTTCATGAAAAAATTCTTCTACAAGAAAGGTTAGCTTTACTTTTTCGTGTATCGGTATACTTTTGCAATATCTAAAAATGTTATGGTAATATGATTACTGTCCGGAATTATAATTTTTAGAATATGTGACTGCAGTAAATAAATATTTTCTAAATATGATTTGTACCTTCTGCCATAACCAAAAATATGCATTTTTGTTGGGTAGAAAACATTTAAATGAATCTAGTTTTTACAGATTTTATCCTGTATATTAACTTTACGTAAAATCCATAAAAACTAGTTCCATTTAAATGTGAACTGTTCGCGTAAACATAAGAAATCGTTTGGGTAAAAACATGTATAAATTATACCACCACAATCAAAAATATTCATAAAAAAGTTTAAAAAATAATAAATTTGAATATAGTATATAAATAATTCTTTTTATAGTCTGTCTTAAGCTGTATCTAAATATAGACCTTTTTTAAAAAACCGTCGTGAAATAATGCATTACTATGAAGATATGAATGACAAGTCGTGGAAACTGTCCATGCGGTCGGAGCTAAGTTTTGCGAGACACCCCGCAGAAGAACACAAAACTCTCCGATCACACTCTTAATATCATGGCTGTTAGACGAGATATGAAGCTGCAGTCTTCAGTACATTTGACAGCATACAGGCAACCGAACAGACAGATCTCCAAATGCATACGGCGGGACTTACGCAACTTTAATACTGATCGTATTGAAGAAGCGATGGAGCGGAACTAGGGCTCCAAAGTCTTTGCTAGAGATCTGTCTGCCAGAAAGAGCCAACTGTCGAAGCTGAAGACCGAGTGTGGCAGCGTCGTTTCCGGGACACCTGAGATTTTGAGAGATTAAGAGGTTCTATGGGTAACTGTACACATTATCGTTGGAGCCACACGTAAGTGTTAGTAACGATCCAAGAGCGAGTCTTATCCGACACTATTCCGATGATATCCCGAACGTCAGTCTGAGCGAAATTAGAATGGCGCTCCAGCACCTTAAAAACGGCAAGGCCCCAGGCGAGGGTGGAATTACAGCGGAGCTTCTGAAAGCGGCTGGAAAACCGGTACTTGAAGTCCTTCAGAAGCTTTTTAATTCCGTCCTCAATGGCGGCATTACACCGGAGGCGTGTAGTAGAAGTGCGATATTCTTGTTCTTCAAGAAAGGTGACAACGCTCTCTTGAAAAACTACAGACCGATTTCCCTTCTGAGCCGCGTCTACGTGCTATTTTCAAGAGTCATTACGAATCGTCTCGCGCGCAGACTTAACGACTTCCAGCTTCCCGAAATAGCAGGTTTCCGAAAAGGCTTTAGCACCATAGACCACATACATACCCTTCGGCAAATTGTACAAAAGTCCGAGGAATACAATTTGCCACTGTCTGGCGTATGTGGACTATGAGAAAGCCTTTGATTCCGTCGAAATTTGGGCGGTGCTGCAGTCCCTTCAGCGGTGCCAAGTTGACTGTCGGTATATCGAAGTGCTGAAGTGCTTGTACAGTAGGGCTACGATGGCTATCCGAGTACAGAACCGGAGTACGGAACCTATCCAATTTTTTTTTATAGGATAAGGGTGACAAACGAGCACACAGTCCACCTGATGGTAAGTGGTTGCTGCGGCCCATAGACATCTACATCTATCCTCTATTACAAATCAAAATGTAGATGCGTTGTCACCCGTGAGGACTAAGATGGAATGCCTCATTTCCAGTACAAAGGGCCTCCGGCCACCTGCACTCACCAAGCGAAACGCAGAGGCAAACCTCAACTTCACGCTGATTTTCTGTGAGGTCGTGGCACCACCCCGGTTTGAGCTGGCCCATCCGTGCTACAGCAAAAGCTGCCGCATGGTTCTCTACCACTGTTAAAATACCAATTGCAGAGAAGTGTAAGACAGGGTGACGTTATAGCCCCGAAACTCTTCACCGCTGCATTGGAAGACGTTTTCAAGCTTCTGGACTGGAAAGGATACGGTATTAACATCAATGACGCGTACATCACTCACCTTCGATTTGCCGACGATATAGTCCTTTTGGCAGAATCGCGGGAGGACCTAAGCACTATGCTCAATGACCTCAATAGTGTTTCCCAACGGATAGGTCTTAAGATGAACATGGGCAAAACAAAGATCATGTTTAATGTCCATGTCACACCTATGTCGGTAGTTGTTGGGAGCACTAAGCTTGAAGTTGTTGATGAGTATGTTTACCAGGGACAAGTCCGACTGTAAGAACTACTCCGACCGAGAGGTCAATCGACGGTTTCAACTCGGTTGGGCAGCGTTCTTAAAATTGCGGCACATCTTCTTGTGAGGTATACCTAAAAACTTGAAAACCAGACTGTACAACCAGTGCGTGTTGCCGGTGTTGACCTATGGAACTGAGACATGGTCCTTCACTGCTGGCCGGATGAGGAAGCTCAAGGTCGCTTAGCGAGCTATGGAGAGGGCTATGCTCGGAGTTTCTCTGTGTGATAAACTTAGAAATGAGGATATACGTAATAGAACCAGAGTGACCGACATAGCCCAACGGATTAAGAAGCTGAAGTGGCATTAGGCCGACCATATAGCTCGAAGAACCGACAACAGATGGGAAAAAAGGTTTTCGAGTGGCGACCTCGTACCGGCGGACCAAGTGTAGGGCGTCCCCTCACTAGATGGAGTGACGACCTGGTAAGATATGCAGGAAGTCGATGGATGCAGGTGACTCAGGACCGTGCTTTGTGGCATTCCTTGGGGAGGCCTATGTTCACCAGTGGACTTGTGCAGGGCTGTAAAGATGACTATGAAGTTTTGGAAGCTCTCAGGCTGCTCTTGTCCTTAAAAAATACTTGCACTCTATATGAGTCCCCCTAGGTAGTGCTAAACGGGCCGCACCACTTTTACGATGGCAGGTTTTAGCTGCTGGTTTTTTGGTTACCGCGCACTAATGCAAAGCCATGTCGCCAAATAACATGGGCATGTTGCGGTATAATGTTTGGTGAAGCCTTATTTAGGATGGGGCTGAACAGTACCGTTGCGTGTGTGAACCGTCAGTTGTTGCTGTGTCGGCTGTGTCGTGAAGCGACAATTAAAAACAAAAAAAGAACCTAACCTAGCAACAACAAAACAACAAAAATAGGGCAAAACAAATAATCTATTTAAAATATAAAAAAGATGTTTACAGATTTATATAAAAAAAATGATGTATGAGGATGAAGATGGGTGACGTGATTTACAATTATTTCTAAAAAAAAAAGATAATAAAAATGATGAGTATTGAAGCTGAGGCCGAAGATCCAAGTGGTACACCGCTTTTGGTGGTGGTATTCGCTGCCCACAGATTATACACAGGCTCTGCTGGTGGTAGGCCCACAGCGCCTGGAATAAGCGCTCGCAGCGCCTGGAGCGAGCACGCACAGCGTAGGTGAAGGCGTGGGCGTATCTAGGCGACGACTTCAGGTGAATGCAGAGGTTTGCAAGATCCGGCGACTTCAGGCAAGACAGAGGCTTGCAGGATCCCAGCGACTTCAGGCAGGACAGTGGCCTGCAGGATCCGGCGACTTCAGGCAGGACAGAGGCTTGTAGGATCCGGCGACTTCAGGCAGTACAGAGGCTTGCAGGATCCGGTGACTTCAGGCAGGACAGAGGCTTGCAGAATCCGGTGACTTCAGGCAGGACAAAGGCTTGCAGGATCTGGCGACTTCAGGCAGGGCAGATGCTTGCAGGGTCCCGGCGACTTCAGGCAGGGCAGAGGCTTGCAGGATCCCGGGGCAGTGCGGCCCCGGGATAAGGCCTTTAGGAGATGCTTCGAGTTTGAGAACCGAAGCGAGACTTAGTTTATTGGCCGATTGTTCGGCTTTTATACCTATTTAGAGAGCACGGAAAATTATTTAAATTAAAAGCAAATTTTTTTTAAATGGCCAAGAGGAAAAGAGTATTTATGTGGAAATATTGAAGTAGAAACAACAGACCGGTAACGAATTTGAATAAAAATTGCCATGACAACCAGATAAACAACGATGTCAAAACATGTCAAATTTTGTTTTCAGGCTCGTAATAGAGAAACGGCAAGATTTAAGTGAAAAATGAGATATTATTGATATAGGAAAAAAGGTAGCGCGTCAGCGCGCACGAAGCCCGAAATTGCAGAGTTACGGAGAACTAAATAAAAGATCGAAAAAGGTAGACTCCATCGACACCGATTTAAAAAGTGCTGATAGCGTGAAAATACAAAGTGAAAATGATTTGTTATTGTGTTCTTATGGTTTAAAAACGTTACAGGATCCTATGGAAATAAAGGTGATGCAAAATATCCAGTTTTGAGGTGAATGCAGAAAATCAAAACAAAGTAAAATGATATGTAAGTAGCATAACACTACTTTTTAAATTTTAAATTTTTGACTCAGCAAAAATTTTGATATGTACATTCTAAAATAACCCGTAAAAACACAGCTTTGCAGAAACAGACATCACCAGGCAAAATCAGATATACTATCTCTTACATTCATCATCTGCATTCAGGTAAGGGTGGAGTTCACATTCAATGACTACCACTCTAAAAGTGTGTTTTCGAAAGGACATTCAGGCTTATTTAAGGAGTTGTCATCCGCTCCTGCGTGGAAAAAAATTATTAAGAGAGTAGTCAGCCGCTCCCAAGTGAAGATAAAGATAAAGAAATTAATCTTAAGTAAGCTTTAGTCGCTATGACTTAAGTAAAGATTAAGAACGGCCAGAGCGGTAGGGCTCAAAGCCAGAGATCAGCAACATCACTAACGAGATATGTCTGAAATAATAATAAAAAGTGAAGATTAACCAACGAAAATTCGAGGTCCTAGAGCAAGATGTGTTGAAGAACACTGGATCACCAAACAAACAAACAAATTAAAAGAAATAAAAATAATAAGGTGAAAATGATGGTGAGAATGAAAATGAAGTTCGAGAAACAAGAGGGGGTTCCATGACAATCGGGTCAACAGGAGGGTCAAATGATGGAGAGTCATTTTCATTGTTATAATTAAGTGCAAAGTTAAGTTTAAGAAATAAAGATTTAATTAAAAATTATACCTCTATAAGTTATCTAGAATAAAAATATTAAAGTGATGAATGTAAGTGAAGTGTTAAATGTAGGTCTAAATATAATCCAGATAAGTTGAAACACTAGATGAAGTGTTGTTTTGGAATTTGGAAGATATGAAAAGGATGAATAAATAAAGAGTTAAGAAATTAAGAGAGAAAGAGAACTTTTACGTTGGGCGCCAAAATGTCGTGAAGCGACAATTAAAAACAAAAAAAGAACCTAACCTAGCAACAACAAAACAACAAAAATAGGGCAAAACAAATAATCTATTTAAAATATAAAAAAGATGTTTACAGATTTATATAAAAAAAAATGATGTATGAGGATGAAGATGGGTGACGTGATTTACAATTATTTCTAAAAACAAAGATAATAAAAATGATGAGTATTGAAGCTGAGGCCGAAGATCCAAGTGGTACACCGCTTTTGGTGGTGGTATTCGCTGCCCACAGATTATACACAGGCTCTGCTGGTGGTAGGCCCACAGCGCCTGGAATAAGCGCTCGCAGCGCTTGGAGCGAGCACGCACAGCGTAGGTGAAGGCGTGTCTAGGCGACGACTTCAGGTGAATGCAGAGGTTTGCAAGATCCGGCGACTTCAGGCAAGACAGAGGCTCGCAGGATTCCAGCGACTTCAGGCAGGACAGTGGCCTGCTGGATCCGGCGACTTCAGGCAGGGCAGAGGTTTGTAGGATCCGGCGACTTCAGGCAGGACAGAGGCTTGCAGGATCCCGCGACTCCAGTCAGGACAGAGGCTTGCAGGATCCCGGGGCAGTGCGGCCCCGGGATAAGGCCTTTAGGAGATGCTTCGAGTTTGAGAACCGAAGCGAGACTTAGTTTATTGGCCGATTGTTCGGCTTTTATACCTATTTGGAGAGAACGGAAAATTATTTAAATTAAAAGCACATTTTTTGTAAATGGCCAAGAGGAAAAGAGTATTTATGTGGAAATATTGAAGTAGATACAACAGACCGGTAACGAATTTGAATAAAAATTGCCATGACAACCAGATAAACAACGATGTCTAAACATGTCAAATTTTGGTTTCAGGCTCGTAATAGAGAAACGGCAAGATTTAAGTGAAAAATGAGATGTTATTGATATAGGAAAAAAGGTAGCGCATCAGCGCGCACGAAGCCCGAAATTGCAGAGGACTAAATAAAAGATTGGAGATTGGAGAACTAAATAAAAGATCGAAAAAGGTAGACTCCATCGACACCGATTTAAAAAGTGCTGATAGCGTGAAAATACAAAGTGAAAATGATTTGTTATTGTGTTCTTATGGTTTAAAAACGTTACAGGATCCTAGGGAAATAAAGGTGATGCAAAATATCCAGTTTTGAGGTGAATGCAGAAACTCAAAACAGAATGGAAAAATGAATTTAAAATAGTGTAAAATGATATGTAAGTCTAAGTCGCGGGGGTAGCGGAATCCAAAGCAAAATGTTGAATTGTCTTATTCTAAAAATAGTAAACCAGGAATGTCCTATAACAGGAAAATTGTTGCTCTAGAAGACAACTAATTGAACTATAATATTTTATGGCTATACGACAATTTTAGTTTTGTATTAGAGTAAATTCTAATTTATATTTTAAAAATATAAATTTGATGCAAGTATTATTTTTTGTAAATAAGTTTTGCGGCATTTATTTGATGTTAGAGTTGTAGTAGAAAGTAAGTAGAAGTTTCTGAAAAGAAAATTAGGTCTTCATGACTCTGATGACCTCAGAAACTTCTAATTTTTGAGGCACTGTCATTAACCCCCGACGCAAACAGAGGGATGTCATATGTTTAACGTGTGTATCAGTGTGTCTGTCTGTGGCATCGTAGTAGCTTCCAAACGGATTAACCGATTTAGATTCAGTTTTTTTTTTGTTTGAAAGGTGACTTGATCGAAAATGTGCTTAGCTATGATTCAAGTAAATTTTTTCAGACGTTTGAAGGTCATCATTCATCAGCTCTTTTTGTTTCGGGGGTTTATAAAGTTTTTCAATTTATTTTTCCCTTAAAGATATTTTAAACCAAGAAAAAAATTATTATAATTCCAGGTCAGGAAAAATTGTTTGTACAGGTGCTAGAAATGAACACGATTCATACATTGCTGCACGAAAACTTGCACGAATTATTCAAAAGCTTGGATTTCCAGTAGGTACAATTTATTCTATAAGTACATAATATGTATATTTGCCGTCTTGCTACTAAATACATTAAACTCAGTAAATTTATTCTGCAGGCCAAATTTTTGAATTTTAAAATACAGAACTTTATAGCAACAGCTGATCTAAGGTTTCCTGTAAAATTAGAAGCATTGCAACAAGCTCATGGGCAGTTTGCATCATATGAGCCGGAATTGTTCCCAGGATTAGTTTACCGAATGGTACGGCCAAGAGTTGTATTGCTCATATTTGTAAACGGAAAAATAGTATTTACAGGTAAATAAACAATCGCTGAGTTACTTAATTAGCTTTATACTTAGTACATATCGACTTCCTATTCGTAACGTGTAACACTCAAAATTCAAAGAGATATTGAGTATGTGATCACTATCGCTAAACGTTATAGAGTATATAAAGCTTTTAAAACCATTTAAAAAAAATCTTTGGTTTGCTTTTCAAAATGACTTCCTTTGAGTGCCTCACAAATATTTCATTATCGTGGAAAAAAAAACAGCCGTTACCACAGAATACTTTATAGTACAAGGTAAAAAAGGGTAATCTAGTATGTCAATGTGGGCTGTTATGAATTATCGAATGAATGAATGATTTTTGTCATGAGTTTTAAAGGAATGTATCGTTGTTGAAATATCCTCATACATAGCTTCCACATCCTATGACGTTCAACGAATACCGGTTTGTAATTCTATCAGGGCCTGATTTACCCACAGACTAACCAGGCTGGAGCCTGGGGCGCAAGATTCGAGGGGGCGCTGAGCTTGCCTTTTGCAAGCATCACTTATGTACAGAATTAAATTTGGTATAATATTCTCAATAAATAATAGACATTACCTGCAACCCGCAAGTATTTTCCTACAGAAGACCAAAGAGTACAATCCACTTTGTCTTGCATATGTGGACTATTACCTTTGATTTCGTCGAAATTTGGGCGGTGCTACAGTCCATTCAGCGGTGACAAGTTGACTATTGTTATATCAAAGTGCTGAAGTGTTTCTTCATTAGGGTTATGATGGCAATCCGAGTACAGAACCAGAGTACGAAACCTATCTAACTGCAAAGAGTTGTAAGACAGGGTGAATTTGAAACATTTCACTACTGCATTGGAAAACGGTTTCAAGCTACTGGACTGGAAAGGATACGAGTCATATCACTCACCTTCGATTTGCCGACGATATTACAGTCGCAGACCTAAGCACTATGTTCAATAACCTCAATAGTGTCTTTCAACAGATAGGTCTTAATAACATGGTAAAAAAAAGTCATGTGTACGTTCCATTATGTCATACTTATGCCGGTAGCTGGAAGCACTGCGCTTGAAGCTGTCGACGAGTATGTTTTTCTAGTAGTCTTTGTTCTAAGGAGTAACTTAGGCTACTTATATTTGAGAAAAAGAATTAGGGTTCTGAGCAATATAATTAAAACCCTAAATTACACGCGGGCGGAGTCGCGGGGAACAGCTAGTCATATTATATAAATGTGTCTGTGTGTGTTTGTAGGAAACACGCTCTATGAAGGTTAATTTAAAAAATAATGAAAATAAAGTGTGAGTGAATGCTCAATTTGCTATCTTATTACCAGCAATAAAATGGCATACCATACACATTAAGCATGGCGCAGTAACAATTCAACCATACCGTAATACGTCCTGCCACCATGCAAGCCAATAGCTACACAGCTTATCTCAACGAAACAAGGCAGCCTCTCCACCACACGACCTTCTTTACCTGTACTAAAAGAATTTTCATATGGACAGAATAAGGACACTGAATAAGACTCGTAAAAGGAATGCGACAAAATCTCTCGGCGCGTCGCCATCGTTAAACGTAATACTACTGAAACGAAGGAAGGTCATAAGCCCTATTCTTACTTTTCTTTGTCTTTATTTTTGCCTTCTGTTTTAAATCTTTTTGCTACGATTTTTTATACAAATATGTACGTACATGAAATAATTAAATTTGATGGTTTTTGTTACAGGAGGAAAATCCAGAAACGAAATCAGCGAGGCTCTTGAAATTATTTATCCAATTCTTAGAAGCTATAGAAAAAATTAAATTGAAATTAAGATTGACTATAATATATTAATATAATTTCACAAGACATTTACACAATAAATAAATTTATTTAAAATCCTCATTCTTCCATCTACAATTACGGAATCTATCATACTTCTACTTTTATCTTTACCATGTGAATATATGAATCTTCTTATGACCAAGGGAATGGTTCATCGAGAGATTTCTTTGCAAACATATTGTAAGAAGGCTTTTACCAATCCTATTTATGCATTGATGAATGCAATAAATGTTTCCAATACCTTGGGGGTATTTATTAAAATCCATTAAAATCTTGCATAATAATATTTTCATTTTTCTCACATTTTATTTAAACCATTCTTACCATCTCCCGAAACTGCTCTCCAATATAAATGACCCTAGGATAAGCAACTTCTTTAAGCCCACTTCACATCTTCACTCCTGCCTCATTTAAGAGGCATCGGGAACTCAGGACCATTTCTTTTTGGGACAGATTCATGGGCAAGGTTCTGGTAGATTCTTACTCCACTACCACATGGTCAGAGCTGCTGATTATTATTATGCGATTGTCGTTCGTTCTCCTTTAGCACCACCCAGAACACATGTGTAGAGATGTCTTAAGAATAAATGTGGATAATAAATATTACGTCCTCATTCAGCTAATATCGATCAGTGGTCTTCTGACACTCAGAAGATCACTGATAGATATTCATTGATCTTGGACGTAATTTATGATAAAACACATTGAACAAGGGGATGAAATAAATAGAATCATTACCCGCAAAAAAAAAATAAGGATCAAAAGAAATATAAAATGAACAAATCACTAAGCGATTGGACCGTTTTCCATTCACCGGCACAGCGCCGGTACCGGTGTCTGTCTATGCTCGGTTTTGGGCAGTACTAACACAGACTTCAGTTCTATAATACATAAAAATGGTCTCGTTAAGTTGTCCTAATTGTTTGTTATATATCTTACATTTAAGACGAAAATGTAATCAACGCAGAGAAGTCAAATTTTAAATTCATCCAATCTTAAAAATAAAATACTGAGAAGGAACATAATTTTACCCTATTTTAAAAGTTGAAAATATACTCCAAAATATATTTCAACTACTTCCGCGTGAACGAGGAGACATTTCATCATTTCACAAGTCAATTTCGAGTTTCAATCTCAACGCGTCCCTTCTTCATCGGCCCGCGCACATGCACATACGCACATGACTTCAATACGTACACAATACACATGTATTTTTACCGGCCTGCATTTAGCGGGAAGCTTGCTGTCTCGGCACCGGCGATGGCACCGGTGGGAGTCGGCGCCGGTAACTGGAAAAAAATACCATATATTTCATACATTTATGCTGCCCCGGCAGCCGGGCCGGCGCCGTACCGGTGAATGGAAAAAACATACATACATACAAAATGTTACACAAAGCATTTTTACGAGGTGAAACTGCAATTAAATTTTTTGCGTACGTAAATATTACGTTAATAACTGGACTGGAGTCAAATTAAACACTTATCTTCTATTTTGTACAGTCGTGAAGTCATATCGAAATATCAGAATAAAAGAAGGTGGCCAGCGCTTTCGAGCTAATTGGCGCGGCACCGGTACGGCGACGGCGCCTTGGCTTTGTTTTTCCACTGCGCCGCTGCCGGTGAGGGTCTATGCTCGGTTTTGGGCAGTACTAACACAGACTTCAGTTCTACAATACATAAAAATGGTCTCGTCAAGTCGTCCTGTTTGTTATATATCTTACATTTGAGACGAAAATATAATCAACGCAGAGAAGTCAAATTTTAAATTCATCCAATCTTAAAAATAAAAAACTGAGAAGGAACACATTAAACCCTATTTCAAAAGTTCAAAATGTACTCCACAAAATATTTCAACTACTTCCGCATGAACGAGGAGACATTTCATCATTTTACAAGTCAATTTCGAGTCTCAATCTTCTTCTTCAAATCGAAACGCGACCCTTCTACCACATGAATAAAGAAACCGACCAGAGGGGGAGCTACATACAAACGGCTCGCTACGTACACACCCATGCATAGCGCAGAGATGTGTGCGTGAGCTCTCACCGACAGGTTCACCGACGCTCCGTCGGGGTACAAACCGGTTTGCGCCGGCTCAGTCAGAGTATCCGTGAAAGGGCTGTTTGTTAGTCGTGCGGATTTAAATAAATAGACCAACAATATTTCGAAATTTTATACATCAATTTATTTATTAAGTTTTTATGCAATTATTAAATAATTGGATTTAAGTACCTATTAATAAAATTAAATATAAAAATTAAAATAATTAAGAATTAAGTTATTATAAATTTATATGGGTAAATAAGTGTTCCGTAGCAAAAATGCTTAATAGTTGTACAGTATGCATGAATAATTCTAGAGAAAATAAGGATATTTCCTTTCTTTGTAACCGAGAGATCAAGATGAAATATAAAAATGAATCGCTGAATGTGTTGCTAAGCGCAAATCTCGAGAGCAGCTGAACCGATTTCGCTAATTGTTTTTTTATAATATTCCTTGAAATACGAAGATGGTCATTACGGAGAGAAAATTTAAAAAAATTGCCTGAAAAAGTCTAAAAACAATACTTTTCTATATTCCCATACAAAAGATTCGTAATGACACTTTAAAGTCAAAGTGAACTTTAATACCATACCATAAAGTTTAAGTGTTAGTGGAGGGGTTCCGGGAAGGCAAAACAATTGAGTGACGTTAGTATCGTATAAATATTATATCGTATCCCCAGGTGTAAATACCACTGCATTATGGTTGGAATACAATCGCCAGACATTGGTGGGGGTGGTGGGATTGAGTTGGTGGAAGTGGTGCTGGTGTTGGTGGATAGTGTTGCTGATGATGTTAGTGGTGGTGGAGATGGTAGAATATCGTAGGTAGTGGTAGTAGGCACTGGGCCAACAGTAGCTCCATCAAGACCACCACCAGTACTGTAACCACTACCACCGCCACCGCCACTGCCTACGACCACCATCACAGCCATTACTACCACCACCACCACTTCACCAAAACTCTTGATTTCGAACAATTAATAGATATGTTATTACATTGATATAAGTTATAATTAATACACATGTTGTCTTATGCTATACAATATTTTTATTTTTTCCTTAAATTTTTCACATGCATGATGTGACAACCCTATCAGAATAGGTACACATTTTCGACGTTGTTAAGAAGCTTCCCCTCTGGTCCTTACTCTTTACTCTGTGCTTCTACTTCGGCCAGCGCACACACACACGTCTGCAATACGTACACAAACTCGTGCAGTTTTGCCGGCCTGCAACGAGTGGGAAGCTTGCTATTAGAGATGAGACATACCTGCAAAATTTAATACCAGAGCTTCTAAGTACGAGTATGGGAAACCAGGTTTTAAAAATATTTGAAAGTATTTGTTAGTGTCAATATATATATATGAATGACTAATTCGAGTCGGGCAACAATTTAGACTGAACGTTTTTTAACTTTTTTGTTAACGAAATGAAATCTTTCTTACCTACTTTTTGACTTAGAACTACTAATTAATAAAAGTTTTAAAATACGATTGAGTTTCTTATTGCTATTGAGATATGGATCATTTTCCTATGCAAGTATTTTCATACTTGCAAGTATTTTTTGCTCGTTCCAGGGCGCCGTACTTTGAAGTGAATACCTGGTTTTAAAACATGGTAGTGTAAATATGTCTTATCTTTACTTGCTATTACGGCATCGGTGGGAGCCATCGCCGTGCCCATGGGCATGCAACTTAAAACATTATTTTTAGAACAAAATGATATATTTTTTGTGCTTCCATCTATATTCCGTGACACTAGGCTAGACTTAATTTTAATCTCACTAGAGGGCACGCTATACACAATAAGTCTGCATACGCAATAATCCATGCGCACTACGCAGTTAGTAGCGGTCACTGGTAGTTACGCTTAAATTGTTATTAATATTTATTGAACATTATTCTAATTTCTCGTGCGTTGCATGTGTTTTCTTTCATAATAATTAAATTCCTTACACATTTTCTTATAGGATAAGGGTGATAAACGAGCACACAGTCCACCTGATGGTAAGTGGTTGCTGTGGCCCATATACATCTACATCTATCCTCGATTACGAATTAAAATGCAGATGCGTTGTCACCCGTGAGGACTAAGATGGAATGCCTCGTTTTCAGTAAATAGGGTCTCCGGTTCTCTACACTCACCATACGCAACACAGCAGCGTTAGGCTGCTATTTTACGCTGGTATTCTGTGAGAGCGTGGTCCTTCCCCGGTCGAGCCGACCCATTCGTGCTACAACCACAATATAGCTTCAGCATGGCTCAACCACGTAAATATATTAACTAATATTTCTGCGGCCCTGTTTTGGTTTTGTTTAAAAATGTCGCGAAAGCAATGTGTTTTTAAATGTGACCAATTTGTTAAGAATTTTAGTGTGCCGGGGATTTCGGGGATGATAAATCGATTTAGCTAGGAAAAATATTGTACAAGGAAAATAAAATTATACTTACTATTTGTCCAAAACGTTTGACGTTTCATGTTTTTTGCAGGGGTTTTCGCGTCACGAGTCTAGTATATCTATATATACGTTTCATTTTTCAGCGTTTGTTTTGAATAGAAATAAAAATATTGCTCTGAACATGATTATCGTCTCTAATATAATCAGTTATGTGGCCGAATGGGCCTACGAAGTACGATGTGCTCTTGTGGTATGGTATAAGGTTTATTTTTTGCTTGAAGCCTTTCGAACGCGTACATGTATAAAAAAGTTCGCAAAAAGATTAAGTCTATTGTTCATCCGCCGGCCGGCCGGCACAGCGTCGGTGCATGTTGCTATTCTTTTTGAAAATACTTTTGTTTTGCTATCCTTACTAATCATACGTCCTGACATTAAGTTTTATCGTCATCAATCTCTGTCTCAGGAATATACTTGCGGTTTCGACTTAATTGTAAACACATTTCCCATAGAACACGCAGCACAGCTAAACCAT